GCGCGACCGCATCCAACAAACGAGATACTCATTTATCATTATAGTATCAGCTGTATAATATACTAATCCTACCGCGGTGACTGATCAGTTTTTTTCCCTTTGCGTGCACGTCTCGAGTCCACACACTGTGCGGGCACACCCGGACTAAAAATTAATTTGTTTGAAATTTAAAATATGTACAAATTATTGTGGGACTCATCGCACGAGTGAAAAGAGGACTTCTCGCTTTCGTAGGTCAAGTGGCCAGGTATAATATTTTAAAAATAGATTTGCAGTAGTACGGAAACGAGACAGTTTTTGTATTTTTAACAAGTGGACGGCCATGATTACCGTATAATTTGATACTCGTATGCATTAAGTTACAATTAGTTCGGCAGACAACTCGTTAAGTCGGTAATCATATTACTTAACTTTTTATCCGTTCAAAATTGGCATTAAACGCGCGTGGTTTGTACTGTAGCGTTTTCAACGAAAGCGATACTTTTATTGACTTCCAAATTTATTAAAAACCATTGACCTTTTCCATACCAGCGACCAGCCGCTAATCGACTTTGACGGCTTTCTCACTATCGTGTCCGTTCACAATCGTGTGTGGTATACAAAATAGTTTTCACATATCACACCGTACATTTGTATTTACTTTCGTTACTTTAAATCGATTTTTTAATACAAAAAGCGTTTTCTAATGTAATTTACATTTACAAACTACACGATATAGAGACACTATAATAACGTGTGGTATGTTATTTATTCTTTATGGGTTCTTCGCAGTATTGACGGTATGACAATGACTTTGAGTAGGCATATAGGTAAAATAATTATAGGTATACATGTAGTATACATATGTGTATTTTAATATTGCCACGAAGCGTAATATTCCTTTTTCGTGTTACTCCGACGATCATTGAACATAATTTTAAACGAACTTATCTATTAGTTCACATACTTGATCTCTTAGGGGAATTATTTTTTTAATAACCATAGAAGTTGTGGCAGCAGAAGTTGTGTCCAAGGCCCACTTTACACTTATATACACGAGTACATGGCGTGACACATGGAATTTTGTTCTGGGACTCGTAGCTTAATATTAAAACTAGTCACTCGTTTAAGATAGATGTTTAGGTGAATCTTGATCGTGTTAGTTGTTCTGGTGCTTTTATAAAGTTTCGATATTATGTACTATGTATGTTTTGCTATTACAGCGTGTACCAGAATATTTGCCCTGTAGCTCTGCTTAGGTTATCAGTCAATAATCAGACGGTTAAGATATATATAATTAAAGTCTATTGAATATATTTTTACAAAACTATCCAGTAAGTTTTAATGTGTTAACTACAATGGCAAATGGTAAATAGTACAGGTGATATTTCGGGAGTCGCGTGAATGATGAGTCAGTTATTTTCAAAATGGGAACAGGTGGGAGGAATTATTAGTCATATTATATGACTTTATATTTTCTTATCTAGTACTGTAGGTTTAATTTTTGTTTTCACTTCCTTGTTGTAAACGAGAACTTTCTTCCGTTAGTCAATTCACCTAAACCGTGCAAGTGCATTTGTGCACTTTTCAGAATTATTATAATACTTATATTATTTTTGTTGTTTTAAAATTTGTGAGTGTAACAATGCAGTCTTTTTTAATGGTTTCGAGCTTTGGTGCTATGGCCCGAGGTATATTTTCTCAGTCTGTGAATATACATTTCTTATGTTATATGTACATAACTATGCGCCAGATCACACGAATAATTAATGATCATTTTAACGGTTCGTAAAAATTGTACGGACTAAAAACAGATGCTCATTGATGTTTAAGGGACCATTAAAATATGCCAGGAGATTCATTAAATCTTTAACGGTTGTTTATACGTATAATTTTTTAATGTCTTTTTTTTTTTTACTTTCATAATAACTTAAAATAGCAGTTTTGTTAAATTTACTGCGGAAATGCCAAAAACATTATCAGAATCGCAACAAAATAATATATAATATTAAATAGAGAAAAAATGAATACTTTTATTATTTTAGTGGACACTTAAACGCGTGTTAAAACACATAAAATGTGAAAATAAATTAAATTTGACGTATAACGTAACGCGCTTGATGTGTGTAAAATAAATAATAGTAATATAATAATAATATGCTTTCATTCTGAAGACACGTGTGAGAAAATAAAACACAACTCGATCTCAATGGATTATTATTGCGTTTTCGATATTGTTACAATAATAATGTTTAAATTGAATAACGGCAAAACGGCATAAATGAAGAATTTCATACAAGGCACAACAGAAAATCGCATTGTCGTCGACGGTGTCATCATTCAAAACGGAGAAATCGTGAAACTAACGTGTAGTCTATCAATTTTTGAAATTACGATTTATAATGCGCATTAAATGAAACTGAAATTGTCTGCAGCTGATGTAGTGTTTTCTCGGTTACGGATTTTGGAAAACTGCAGGCCTGTGTTCGCGTGTCTCGCACACGGTCAATTTTATTTTATCAATAAGCTGCTTATTTAAATGTTAAGGTACACTCGATGAAAACGGATTTTTCTTTTGTCCACTGGACGTTAATCTGATGCAACGATTGGCACGAGCAGTATGGACACGGTGTAAAGAAATAAATACCAAACAAGATTCCTTTGACTTATGGTCAAACTTCTACTTGGGAGTAAACACTAAATAATAATATCACCGCAGAGTCGTTATCCAAGTTCGTTTGTTGCATTCACTAAATGAGCCTATCTTTGCAAAATTGTTTTGTAATTTACTAATTTAAAACAAAAATGTATACAAAAAAAAATGTACACGGAATTTACTTTTGTAAAATATTTCAAAAACGAAAAAATACGATTTAAATGCGACTACGGTTTATGGTTACGATTCATACAGTTTATAATATATATATTATAATTATAAATTATGTATACATTTTATTTTTTTAATATATAAAAATATTTAGTAGGTACTCTTATTTATAAGATAATTTAAGCATCTTTTAGTATCTTTTGGCAGCATTTGAGTATTTATGTAGTTATAAATATAAAAATAAAATAGCAGCCTTTAAATAATATCATACAACAAAACTTGATCTTTTTTTGTAACGAGATCCAACATTTATCTACTTAATTGAATTGTTTTGCTGCATGTAAACCTGGCTATTTCGGCTAATAAATAAATTCCAAAAGTTCGTTAAAATATTTGATCGTTTGTAAATTCATCAAAAACTAAATATTTCGTAGTGAAAATTTCACATAAAAAATGGCTTAATAAAATCTCTATGAATAAAGATTATAAAAACTGCTGATCAAGAAATAACACGAGACAAGAGTATAATATGAATTGATTAAATTGTAATTTTTGTATTCACGAGTATAGAAGTTGCCCAATGGCCCAAACAGTCAAGTACTAGCAACATGAGAGTTAATTGCAATTAATAGTATATGTAGGTGTTTGTCGAGTAAATAATAACATGTAATGTAAAACAATGATTATTTATCAGTGAACTTTGCTAGTATACATTTTGGGTAACAAATGCAATTAATTGTAAGTAATAACTATTAATATGCTATCAATAGAACATTTAAATAAAAGTGTGTATAAAGAAACTATTGTGGTATAGAAATTAAGAACACAGAATAAGTGTCTGATTGAACTCTTTGAAATCTGAAGGATCAATAAAAGAGGTACAATGTAAAGTTCGAGTCGAGGCCTAAAAGGAATTAGCTCTAGTCAGTTGGACTGAATAGATCTGACGTCCTAACGGATATAGAGGAGATAAAAAATGATATAGAAACAGGTAATGACATAAGATATAATCGAAATAACTTTTAAAATAACAAATATAAATTGGAAATCTATAAAAATTGATACTTGAAAATATATCATGTTCTATATATTATAAAATTAGTCAATAAAAAAAGAAGTTCATTCTATAAACCTTACTTGATATTAAGTTTAAAAATAGTTTCAGGTTTACCGTAAACTGTTATAATTTCTGATTTCTAAATGTCATGGATGATAACTTAACCAAATGTTTGTTTAATATTATTTATATTTTCGCAAGATAAATTTCTTCCGACAGTATTATTATATTATACATATTTATTACTAGAAAGTAGAATAAACAAAATATTTATTAAATAAACTCAAAAGTAGTATGAATTCTTCATTTGAAAGGCCCGGTCTTTTTATTTATTTATAAAGATATTATTTTAAATGTTTAATTTTATGTAAACATAACATATAAGCGATTATAATTTACACAAAGTTTTTCCATAAAAATTTTTTTTTTAAAGTGATTACCCATACAACCATACCATAACATCCATCATATTATTTATTTTTTATTAATTTTAATCGTCGGTGTAATCTCAATAGCGGTTTGAACTCGAGTAACGTTCACGAAAAATCAACATAAACTATATTATACTGTAAACCGTTCACTATAATATTATAATATGTATGTATACCATTGTACGTGATAAACCGACTTTGGGGTACATAATTTTTATTAAAAAAAAAAAAAACTTGGTTATTTTTTTTTTATTGTTTAACACTAACCGACAGGTATAAAAATTAATCTATCGTACACTATGTAAACCGAACCGTCGTCAACTTGCACTGACTGGGCGGCATCGGACCTGTCTTCCACGCGGGCCGGCCGCCCGGTAGATATTTGATTAAATTATTATACACCTATAATATATTACAATGTTATTATTGTGTGTATGAATTAAAGGAATTGATAGGAAACCAGAGAGAGGACGAGACAGAGAAAGACGGTGCACACACATCCGTTTCCGAACGGTCCCTAAATCGGCCAAGGTTGACATAGTCCGGCGTCCAGACGGCCGGCGGCTGCTGGCGAGTGCCCTCCCTCCGGACGGTCCGGCAAACGGGTACGGGGCACCCCACCTCAGGTCAGCGGCACCGATCCGCGGCGGCGACGGCGGCGCTCTAGTCGAAAAACAGGTGGTAACGCGGTTGAATAAAAGACAACTACCGGGACAAACGGGAGATCAGTGTTGTGCCTTTAGTTAAGTGGTGAACAGGTTCAATAGAAACATATTATAGTTCGTGTAATCGTTCAGTTTGTTTTTTTTTTGCTTTTAACCGTTAACTTACACTCGCACATCACCCACGATGAGGAAACTTGTGTTCACGTGCCTTTTGCTTGCCGCAGCCCAAGCCGCGTACGGTCACCCCGCCGCCGACGAGGGCGCAGCGCCCGCCGCCGACGAGACCGCCGGACTCGAAAAGGTCTACAAGGTCCTACAGGAGTGCTCCGAGAAGAACATGGCCGTTTGCTTGAAGATGAGAGCCCTGCAATACGTGGACCGCGCCCTCCGCCGTTCCGACAACATCGACGTGCTCGACGGCATCACCCTGGTGAAATCCGAATCTGTCGAATCATCCCGAGGACTCAACGGCCGATCCCTGTCCGAATCCGAGTTGGACGACAACTCTGCCAGCGATGAGGTCGAGAAAGACGCCCAAGTCGAAAACCTCTTGTTGGACCGCGTCGCCAGGTTCTTGGAAAGCCACACCCTCCAACTTAAGGTGCCCGAATCCAGCATCTCCGGCATGAGGAGGTCCCTCGAAGAAGGTAAAAAAACAATTTCATACCGTATAGTTTTATCTAAAATATATTTTTAGTGTAACCGTCGAGTATGTTTTATAATATTATCATCTATTTATACTCTTATTTCGTTTCATTATAATAATTGTCGGCGCTCAGAGACTTGAACGCCCGTTCGAGTGTACTGTAATTACTTCATTACGATATAACGTTATAGTTACAGACAGAACAACACTAATTATTTATTTATCACGAATCCCTCAATATATTATATCATGCAATTGGTACTTGGTTTTGCCTCTGTTCCGCGGTCGGGGCTAGCTATTTATTTCTTGTTTTGTTCCGTGCAGTCAAACGGCTATGTGGCGTTTCATTAGAAATTTGTTTAGAGCGTTTTAAATAAAATGTACTTCTTTTTTTGACATGCTAGCATTGTCTGTAGGAAATGATAATATTATAATTACGGTATTGGAATGAGGCACATTTTCTCGCAATTCGCATATTTTTCTCATCGATTTCGTTCAATTACCATTGGCGGCTGTTGCGAATCGCTCGACTCGCGTCCCAGCACGTGCGGCCATTAGCCTACTTGCGTTTCATCTGCATATATTAACGGCCGGGCACTAGTGACTTTATTACACACCCGTATGTCCGTTTTTATTTTATAATATTAATATTATTGTTATTGGCAACGTTTAACGCAGTAAACAAAACCGTCGACGTGGGTCGTACGGTAATGTACCTGCGGCGTTTGTCCACACCGTTTCCGCATGAGCCACGGCGTCTTAGGAGTTTGCCAGTCAGTCAGTAGTCGCGCAGGCCCCCGGGCTTAGAGCAATAACTGTACATACACGCCCCGTCGACAATATATCGTTTATATTAACATTATAATAATTATTATTTGACGTAGCCCGTTGTAATATTATTGTAATACGGTCGGCCGGCAGGAATGTGTTATTAACGCTTTAGGCGTCGGCGGGGTCATGCCCACAGCTCGGACGTACGGTGACCGTGCGCTATCGCCCCTAAACCTCTGGAATGAAATTATAACGTCTATACAATATTATGTATGTGCGACCCCGCGGACATAAGAAGCTTATTCCGCCGCGGTGAAAGCGATCCTTTCACCGCGGGTGCAGTGTGTAAATGGTCTACGCTAATGTATTATTATTATTACAATAAAATAACCATCACGGGTGGCTCGAATTAAACGGTTTTGATTTTGTTTTGTGTTTTGCAGCCCGAGGCAAGAAGAAGAAGCAACAGAAAATGTTGTTGCCTTTGTTGATGATGCTCAAGATGAAGGCCATCGCTCTCGTGCCCTTGGCCATCGGCGCCCTAGCCTTGTTGGCGTTCAAAGCCCTCGTGGTCGGCAAGATCGCCCTCGTCCTGGCCGTGATCATCGGTATCCAGAAACTGTTGGCCAGCAAACACCACCCGTCCGTCGAAGTCGTTTCTCACCCGCACTACACCGAGGAACACGGACACCACTACGGACGGTCCATGGACGCCCAAGACATGGCGTACCGCGGCCAACATTAACTTACTTACTTGACGGCCATAGCTAGAACCTATCCATTACCATCACGCCCGTTTACCATCCGACGATGATAACTTATTTGTATATAGACAACAACAACGCCTAAAACTTAATTTATTGAAGAACATTATTTTTTTTTTAATTATTATTTTTATTTTATTGATACTGCCCGACATATTTTACTCTTGATACTTTGATTCTCTCTCTCTATTTCTCTCTCTTTTTTTCTCGTTTCAACACTCGTTTGTTGTCCATCGCGTAGACGTTGGCCGATAACGGGTTCTGATACTGGTTTAGAATAAAATTCACATTTATAAGCGTTGACGATTATATAGTACTCCAACACCGGGCGGTCGTTATAAAAATTAAACGCAAGTTAACCTATTGACACACAGACAAGCGGTGTTTAAATAGGTCGTCTTGAAAATAATATTAACAAGGTAAAAAATTCCAAAACTCGTTCCAACCATAAAATAATATACGTATACACTATTAATTTAGTAGAAATTAGAAATGCGTTCATTCGCTTCGCGCCACCTTGACCTTTCACGCGACGATATAGACCCTACTCGTTTTACCAAGTACGTAGGTACCCAGTAGTATACCAGTAGTAGTATTCACTTCCTCCCAGTAGAAAAACTCACAATAAAATAATAACCGTGACTGACTGTAATCTTCCCCGACTTGTACGAACCTCCTGTACGACTGACCAAAGACTACTTAGGCCTGACCGAACAGTATTGCTCATAAACCAATTATATATGTTATTATTTATTTTATTTAATATTATTATAAATAGGAATTTTTACCATTGTACGTGATCAATGTACATCAAAGACTTATATGAATAAAAAAAAATATATATATATTTGTTTGTAGTACATTATCGACTTGTTTCATACATCCATTTATTCCCCGACTTAACATGACTCGAACGCTACACTAACTATTACAACTTCACTCGTTTACTATACAATATCTATATTGTACGATTAATAATAATTTATTTTGTGCTATTTGTTTGAAGACTATTATTTATTTTTTATTTTTTCTTAATAGAATAAACATTTTTAAGAATAATCATTTTTGTTCTTATGTAATTATTAATTATTTCTCCTATTCAAATGTAACGACTACGGCAATAATATTGTATTGATCGATTCAATATAATACAGGTAAAACCGCTAATAGAAAATGTTCTACTTCACATAAAGTAAATAACAAATCAACGAAACTTATACATTTTTTTGGTTCGTAGACATTATTAAGTATAAAAACATATTATTATTATAATATGGACTTTAATATGTGAGTGTGAGTAGTTTTACAAATAATGTTACGATCTTACACTACATATGTGTGTACAACCTTAAAAGTTTATGGTGTTATATTTAAAATAAATATATGCCTTCCGTGTTAATTGTCTAAACAATCAAACAATATTGATCAAGCAAACTGAAATTTGCGATTTGTTACAGTTTTGTACCGAAAAATACGTTATACTTTGACAATAGAGATGCATATTAATAAATATATTAATGTGTAGAAAATGTAGGCAACTTTTACTTTATAAAGTATATCAAGCATACCATTTCATGCTCTAAAAAACAACAACTTTTATTATTTAAATTTAATATACTTTTTTAATATACACATATAAGTAGAATAAAATTACCATTGAGCCCTAAGTATTATTATACAGGTATTAATTAGTATTTAATTTATAGTTTTTGTGTAAACTGTTTTTCTTATATATAATTCATCTAAATACTTTGTACAGTCTTGGGTGTTCTACGGACCTGTAGCTAATTAAAACTGGTATTTGCGTTAATTATAAACTAATTTGTTCTGTTTTAATTTAATTAATTGGCTAGATGTATAAGTAATATTTTTTTTTTTTTAGTTACAATGGCCCATTTAAGGCTATGGTGGAGGTTTCTTAACCTGGAATATTATGATAGGCGTTTGGCTAAATATTTTGCTTACGAATTTTTTTTTACGCTTCTCAAATATTTACATTAAAAAAAAACTTCAATCATAATTATTTGCCACAAGTAGCTAATTATTATTTTAAAAAAAAGATTAACTATGATAGTTGTTATTTCATCTTATACACTATCGTATACATTTTATGCCACTTTAAAAATTACTAGAACCAGTTTAGGTCGCTAACCTGTAGTAATTAAACCGATGTTCCCGAAACGAAATATGGTATTCCGTTATAAAATTATTTAATTATTTTAGTACTATTAATAGTACAGTAAAATGGTAAAATTAAGTTTAACTTTCATATTTTGACATACGGGTAAATAATTTTTAATGATGCTGTTACACGTGTTAGTATAAAATAATTGTACACAGCTGACAACTACAGCTATAGATACGAGCGCCCCATCAGAGCAGTCTGGGTCAATCCCTGCCGACCTTAACTGGCTTATATGTATTATAGATGTGTAGAAATGCCGACAACTATACTTGTCCGTCACTTTGACTGACTGTTCTAGCTTTGTTGCAAAGTACTTTAGTCGCGCCTGGTTAGGTTTTGCATTATGGTCACAACTTTTGACCTCCGTCGGCGTCTCTCGTTTAGAAAACTCTCATGTTGCCACTTGCCGACGTTGTACATATTATTATACAGTCGATATGCAGTAACATAACAATAGAACTTCATGATTATCTCCTTATAGCTTTCTTGCGGAATCCAATTACATACCGCTCGTCGTACATGAGATATTATTATTATTATTGCAATCGTCATGATGTACTTTAATAGACCTAATCGCCGTTGTCCGTGACGAGCAGTGGACGGAGTGGACGGTATAACGAGACTAGGATGTCCATTGAGATGAATATTATTATTATTACTGTTGTTGTTATTGTCACGGTGTATTTTTATAATTTACTGGCGGTAAAAGTGAATCGGCCAGTACACAGTCGAATGCGCTTGAAAGGAAAACTGAACTTTCTTCGCCAAGACGGTCGGACACGCGATCCGGGCTAAACGGTCAACGCGAATAATATGATCTATGTAAAACAATAGATGCAATTATTGGATAATTTTCGACGTCGAGTCTTCAAATACCTTAGATTCGGACACATGTCAGCGCAGTTGTCCGACATGTTCCGCCGCGTTCCTAGGGCCGTCGCAATCCTCCTTTTACTCGCGAGCAGCACCGCCTGTTTACGCTTTTCCGACCATCTTCAGCAACAGCCACCGATGGATAAAAACTCGGACGAAGCTACCTTAAGTGTCGATGCGGCCGTGAAGAGCTGTCTGTCTGGACCGGAAGAGTTCGTGCCGTGTCTGAACGAAAGAGCAATGGACACATTGGAACACGCCGAATCTGTGGACGCGGTCAGGTTGCTCTCGGGTCTAAAGCTAACCAAGCCCGTCGAAGTCGTCGCACCCGCGCCAAGAGGAGTATATTCTCTCGGTAAGCGTCTATCGGTCTGTCTGGCCTACTTACTGGTTCACAAGAACATCATTAAGTCCCGTGCCAGAAAAATTAAAAAAAAAATGGTATTATTGACGCCAATAGAGACCGAAGAGTATAACATTTCAGTTAACATTATAAAGAATTTAATATAAAAACACTTAAAATATAATTAATTATTCGAATAATTCTAAAAATCTCTAACGAGTTATTGATAAAAATTAAAAATCTTCAATTAAATTAACAGAGGTGAAAAAAAATGACATAGTTACTTTCAAGTAACAAAAAAAAAGGTTAAAACCCTTTTTTTTTTAAATAATCTTAATAAAAAAATGAGATTTTCAATTTTTCAAAAATTGAAATTGTGAAAAAGAAAAAGACACATCATCGTTGTTTTCACAAGTCCAGCTTCACATTTAAGTATAGTATTTTAGTCTATAATTATAACACTGATGAACTACACTTAAGATTCAAAGTTAATTGGTGAGAACGGTTTTTAATATTAAGAAGAACTGTCGTACTTAATAAATAGTTATACATTGTACGAAATTGGTACTACACATAAATTAGAATCAAATATATAAATAATCCAAGCGAACCGGTCTTGTCTCGGTTACTAGAAAGTATTCACAATTTTTTGGTATACTGTATGGTAACGTCCGGTTAAATTACGAATTCCCACATGTATTGTTACAATGGTTGTCGCCAAATATTTATATGTATATATATAATATTTATGTGCTAAATATCAACGAACTATGTATTAAATCCTATATTAAATAACATTAATATGATCGCTTTAATTACATTCAATAAACATAATAATATTTTTTTCATTTATTTTATATTCGCCCCAGCTGCAATTGATTTCATATTTATGTTTATTGGAAAATTACTATTATCACATTTAAATGAAAACATTTCAGTAAATCAGATTTTTGTTTGAGTAACGATATATCTTATTTTTGAACTAATCTATGTATAATCCATAAAACTGTTCAAAACAATGTATTATTTGTTAATTATTATTACCGATAATTACCTTCACAACACCACCATTTGAGGGGTTCTTTAGGAATTCATATTTTAATCCAGATAAGATTTCCTTGATAATATAATTTTATGAAGCCAATAATGTTTCGTGCAACCCAGCATAAATATTATTGTAGATTTACCAATGGAATTAGGCGTTGTTCATATTTTGATCAATGTACACTAGAACATTGTTACCGATAGAACATCATTATTATATCACGGGATAAAATAATATACAAGGGTTGCTGCCCATTCCGAAGTAACCGTGATGTTCAAATGGAGAGTTGTAGAATATTATAGACAACAATCATATTATATTACTTATCAATTTTCTCATTTCACGTTTACGACGGATTCTTTACACTAATAGGATATGCGGTGTATTATGTTGTTTTTTCGACGGTCACGGTGTATGTAGCACTGTGGTCACAACAATAAATTGCTTTACTATTATCTCGGACAATATGATTACGAGCTATGGTTGATGTACATGATTCGCTTATGAAAGTCCAAAATAAATATATGAGATTTCAGGTTATATATATATATATATATATTGTCGAATTTAGATTCTCATTCAGTAAAATTAATATAACATACACTATTAGGTTTGTGAACTTTACAATATCATATTTAAGTGAAACTATATAATGATATCAACTGCTAAATGTCATGCTACAATTAGAAATTAAAAGAGAAGTTCGAAACAAATTATCATCAACGAATACAATATATAAAACAACATACAACACAACAAATTTTTAAAAAGTACATCTTTTTAAAAATTTAAATATTCAAAATTTTACTATTTTAATTTTCATCGACTTATTTCAAAAGTATTGCAATCGCATCAAAATAGAACACTGCATGTAAAATATACATGTATAATGTAGAAAAGTCGGCAATATAAGTTAGGGGTAGTCAGGTTAGGGCGACGAATAGTATCAGTTACTGCGGAACAGTAAAGGTTGCCCAAAGGTGCTAGTTACATTTTGTTAACAGTCTATAACTTAGTAGTTGTAAAATAATAAAGTAAACTATTAGTTATGGACAAACAACAGAAACAAATAAATAAAACTCTAGTAAAACCGAACACCTGCAATATGCGGCCGTTGGCAATAATAAAAATAATTTTTTTTTACGGAATAAATCCTATTTTATTTACAATTTAAATCTAATATTATTATAAAAATGCTTGATTCTACTTGACAGTTTTAAAACCCTGCAACAGAGTTATTTCATTGTTATTTTCTAACAAAAATGATTAAATCAATTCGTTTTTAAAATAAGGAGCTCAAAATGATTTTTGACAAAAAAAAAAGCTTATCATAGTAATATTATTCATAGTAGAATGGAGTTGACTGTTTTTTGCTTGGCAGATTTAAATATTAATAATATTGTAATTCCATAACTGTTATGGCCAAAAAACAACAAATAAAATCAGATTCAACATACTTATATATTATAGGGTATAGTATACTTTGATATGCTTAAACGACTGGTTTATTTTTTTATATTATTATAAATATTCTTCTATAAAATAATTTCCAATACTCTATTGCTAATGTTTTTTCTCTGATATTTGCTGCGTCAGTAGATTATTTACTCTCAAGAAGTTATGATATTCTTCTTTTAGACAAGTACTGTTTGAAAAAATATCAAAGTTACGCCGGCATTAAATTATAAAATTTAAGATATGGGTAGAGTTTCCTAAAAATATTTATGAGAATTAGACTCGATATAATTGAACAGTCATTGTAGTAAAGTCCATTTAATTCAGACATAGTAAATAGTAATATAGAAGTGATTTATAATTTACAAATTAACAAAATTACTCTAACAAATAATAATACTTAGTACGTCTTTTAATAGTAATCGGTTTGTTGAGAAATTCAAGGAACCCAGATTTTTTTTCACCATAAACGATATTTCATACCTCTTATTTGAACTTATGTTTTATATTGTAACAAACAATATTTCGTTTTAACTGGTTTAAGTTATACTATATTTTAATATATTTAAAATTCTCTTGATTAATTTAAGTGTCTGATGTTTTCTGTTACATTTAAAACTCAATATTAAAAATTGAATATAAATATATTTTTATACGTGTTTGCCTACAACTATTAAACTAACAACTTTATTAGAAAAGTTGAAACTGTCAAGCGTATTCAAGCAATTGTTTTAAAAATAATAACATTTATGTTTTCTTTTATGTCAACATTCGTTTGCAGGTGTTCAGTATAATTTCAATCTCATACGTACTGTTCTATTTATTTGTCCATAATTTTGAAATTATTTGATTTAGAATACTATTGAAATCTATCAAGCAAAAATCAATCGACAATCAAATCCATACGAATAATATTATGATGCGTTTTTTGTCAACAGTGTCAACATTAATCTGAGCTCGGTATTATTATTTGACCAATCATATTTGTTTGTAAATAACTATTGTTAACTTTACTGTGAGGTTTGAAAATGTTAGAGCAAAATCAAGTAGCTTTATAAAATTAATGTTATGATACGTTTTTTTTTAACGGCTGCAAATGACAGATGTTCAATATTATTTGTGTTTTCTTTGTGTGGTTTATTCTTTACATTTTTTCGTCCATAACTATAAGAATTTACTTTATTGGTGAAGTTGAAAATTGTCCGACTGAATCTAACTAATTCACATTAGCGTTATTGTGACACATAATATTATATTAATATCATACATACATGACGTATGTAAACATTTTCAAGGAAAAATACTTATTAATACATTAAATTTTATAATTCACCAGCACATTGGTGGTCCGACAACCAGTTAGGTACATTGACTGATCTTAACGGTGAGTATTCGTGACTTATGAAATCTAGAATAGCTATGAAGTTTTTGTATGTTTTTTCAACCACTATAGCACAAAGAATTAATTTTGAACGTTCTTATTAATCAGAAACATGTTGTTTAAAAATAAAGTTAAAAAAGAAAAATGTTTAATTTCAGCATTTAGTTTGTGCACGTAAAACAAAATGTACCAACTATTGTATAGTTGTATGTAACGCAAAAATGTAGCCACATATTCGATGTTATAATATAGCAATAGTATAATAGTTAAATAAAACAAAACATCTATTGAGCTGAAATTATGGTAGGTGACTATTTGGCCTATAAAAGTGATGTTAGAATAATAACTGCCACAATAAAGCGTATAATTTCCTATTGTAATAGTTTAATGATACATCAGTGCTAATGAACAAAATGACACAATGAGACTTGGTCACAAACTCTGTAATATATAATATATAGTTATGCTTCGCAGCCAAAACTACAGAATACTCCTGAATTACCCAAAACTATTTTTTTCGCTTTTTAATGAAAATAATGATTTTTTTGGCATTTTATAGGGAATTATTAGTACATAAAATAAAATCATAAGCAATTCGTTGTACTGTTTGTTAGGTGCGAATACTATATTATTTTAGTTTATGAAAATTCGCATAGATTCTTTGCGCCTAATTTTTAAAAGGAGTGTCTTAGACTACAGTTGTGTTTAATGTGTACACTGACTGTTTGTTCTTATTACTTAAAAAATGATAGAGCATCATGGTAATTTATTCGTAAACAGAATACATTTTTTTCTTTCTAAGAAAAAGGATTTCTTAGATTCTAAGTCTTAACTTACATGTAATGATTAATACGACTAAAATAAAAAACTGCATTTAATAATTAATTAATCGAACCATTAAGTTATTTATTAATTGGAATTCATTTAAGTTATCCTATGGTTTGTTGCAGAAGGCAACCCATACAACGTAGGTGCTGTAATTGAAGCAGTATCGTCGTTGCTGTCGAGGCGTATGTTTAACTGGGACCTCGGTGCTATATTTCCGGGATTGTTAATGCGAATCGGTCCATCATTCAACAGCCAGGGCGTAATCGACTTTATTTTAGACCCTCGTCGGAAGTATGTTCAAAGGAGTATGAGCTTTGGTATGTACAAATTGATAAAGCCATATTTGGTATTATGACTTTAAATAAAGTTATTAAAAATTTAAGCCCAACATAAATGATAGTTTTCACTGAGAAAAACAAGATATTATAAACAAACTAATTCTTTTAAAAATGTAATGCCGATTTTTCTAGGTCACTTGTTATTTAAGAGAATAATTTTGCCAAGTTTACTGTCCATCCATGTAAGCATAGTATCAATAATTCCAATAGTTATCGTAGCGTTGTTTTTTCTTGCAAAAAACGCTATTTTGTTGTCAAAATTTGCATTTATCATCACCAGTGCAGTAAGTGTACGGAATTATGTAAACATATATAAACAGTTAACATATAAATATGTTATTGTATGTGCAGGTTGGTCATGGAACACTTTACTCACAACAACAAAATCAATGGCCCGAGCCTGTATTCGTCCACCCGCACAGAAATGACAAAGATTTTGACTACTACACTAATTACCAACAAATATCATCTTCTAAAACCGCTTAAATACTTAGAAATTTTAGTAACTACTTCACACAAAAGACAATTAAATTGGATGTTTGAAACATATATTAATTCATAATATATTATATAGTAGGTACAATAAATTTCATTTTTTTCCGTCGAGAACTAAACATGTATATACAAATGTAATCTTCATAACTATTACCATATTAACTTTAAAAATAAATTTAGGAGTATATTTTGTTAAATGTAGCTAAATAAACTGTACATAAATACAATAATTACTATAAAACGCCTTAGCTAAAACTTTTTTTTAAATATAACTACGAGTATTATAGTAAATTACTTCCAGTTAAACGTTGTTTTTTATTTGTTGTCAGTATAGTTAAATTATACCAAGACCCCTATTTTAAAATACTAATGGATTTTTCTCGAAGAACACTGTCCTAATCAAAATTTGATCATTAAAAACTTTTAGAGCTCGAAAAAGAATTTAAAAAAAATTTTTTTTACAAACACATGTTTTGTTACAAAAAAGTAGTTGTCTCTAAAAGTTCTCTCGAACTTTTTTTTATTTTTGCAGCAGTGTTTTTTGAGAAAAATATATTAGTATTTACTTTTTTATAAAATAACACCAGGTTTTTTCCTCTGCCTAAATTACTATTACATTATTTTTAAGAAGTTTTGTATTTACAATCAACACACATTTCAGTTACTTGAAAACGCGTTCATAGTTATCACTTATCGCATTAACTATATTCATAACAAAAGCATTCTGCATTCCTTATCACTTATATGTAAATAATGCTTAAGCATTACAATGTTTACAATGTTTAAAAATTAAGGAAAAGTAAATGGTATTCGCCCATATTTTTTTTAACATTATGATAATTTATACACGTTTAATGGTATCTAAATTATTATAATGAAAACAAATATGTTACAAATCGTCGTCTTCCCTAATTTCTTGCTATCAACTAGGTAATATTATATTTAATTTTTTTAAGATTTTTGTTTACAGATTAGTATTGATTTGGTCTCTGTAAGCCAACGATGATGCAACTATGTTTTGCGTGTCTGTCGGATTGAAACTCCTATGGTATCCACTGTGTTCTGACCCTCCACCGCCACCGCTCCACACAACTGGTTGTTGGACGGCCCCTCCGCCGCTATTGCCAAAAAGCTTTTTAAGAGCGATCACCGCCGCTAGTAAAAACGCAAACTTAGCTATGATCAATGCTTTCATAGCGATCATTGAAACTCCGCCCATCATTCCCATGTTCATCATACCGCCAATAGCAGACATACACATGGCTCCGACCGCCATCATCATGCCCATCTTGCTTTTACCACCTTTGTCTTTTTTTTTCCGACCTATAATAAGGTACAAAAAAAATGTTAACATTATATTGACAAATGACAAGGTATAACCTCAAGATAAAGAATTACATACTGTATTATTATTTGTTAGACTTAATGCTAAATTACTGAGAATTATGACTCGACGTTGGGGTTTAAACGCTTATTTAGTTGAATTACAATAACAATAATCGTATGAACTACTCATATGAAAGACTACTGAAAAGCACCACATCACAATACATTTTTCCAGTATGATAGCTTAAAATGCTTAGACTTAACATCAATAGTCAAACAGCGAGTATGTGTGTAAGAGAGAAAAATAGAGAGAATTTCACCCATTATAGAGGAAATCTGGTATTATAATATTTTTTATAATAGTATTAGCTGGTTGGATAGTTTACATACAATGCAAATATACTTCTTTTAGAGAAAATAAATCGACAAATTTTGTTTTTATTGAACTCAGAGACATAAAAGTTTTGCATTATTTTTAAGAATAAGGTTTACGTTTACTACTCGTTTACAATTTTCCCAACTTTACCCTTGTATACTAAACTTCGTCGTAGAAGTAGTTGTACTATTTAGTTAAAACATCAGATTTTTAACTACATTTTCTCATAACAAATTCAATAAATTATTTTGTCGCGAGACTTTGAGAAAAAACGATCACGAAGTTTGAGGAGAGTATTCTATTTTGGATTTTGTTTATTATAAAACAGCCCAAAAAAAAAAAAAAATGTTCTTGTTTTAATGTTTTCAAATATCTTAAAATATGTTGACCTTACTTTCGACAACGGTGTAGCGTGGTTGTTCATCGTCCGTCGTCTGCGGATGATAGTTTAACTTGAGAGTTTGGAAAAACGTGGTCAGCCGTGTACTCAGTCCGTCCGTAACGGCGAATCTGTTTTTGCTCGGACGGCCGTTGGTGGTGACGGTGAGGTAATGGTTCAACCGGTAAGTCTCGTTTCTCGACATTATGTCGTCGATGGTGTTTTTCAGATCTTCGGCCAAGCACCGATCAAACTGCCCCGAACGGCACCGGTTAAGGTAAGACAGCAAATCGCTGAACCCTTCAACCTGGCCCATCGCCCTGACGGCTAACACGGCAAACACACACAGCACGCGCATGATGCATTTGCAAGATTAACCCGAAAATACAGCAAGTCCGCCGTTTTATACTGTCCCGTTTTCGTGCGTTTTTAATTTGGATAACTGTAACGCGCTGAAACATTACCGGTGAACACTCTAATGACATAAGATTTAGATAAACTAGATTAGCCTACCTATGTTATAGTATACCGTATATTATGCTTTTGCCGTACTACATTAATGTGCTGCGGCTAGTGCGGGTAGTACGTCGAATGTGTCGAATGTACCAAATCAGTTGGGCGTATCGAGATATGTCTAAAATTAACTAACATAATTAATTATGTCAATGGCTTTAACGAATGTTTCAGCCACCGTAATAATAATAATTACATACACGGCCCGTCATCGTTGTTGTATTATATTGTGATAATAATAATAAAGTCATCATACGGACATGAATTCATAAAAAAAAAAATATATATTTAATACTTTATCTAGACAAACGCGCAATCATTCTGGTAAAATTTTAGGCACAAATTCGAATCTGCAAAAGCCATAAGAATTGCACAAACGAACACATCACACACACGCGGAAAGAACTACAAGTGGTTCTATTTTCTATTCAAAACATAATATACACATAGATTCTCATCTAGGAAGCAATATGCTTCGTTATATCAACAGACCCTTTCAGAAATCGTTTCCCTCGAAATTGGACGATTATTATATTCACAGTATGCATTGCACACTAGAAGCCATTTGATTGGTGAGTGACGGTATCGAGACAACGACGACCGTCATTGTCGTACAAACAGTACAATCAAATAAAAGTAAGCTCAACTATTTGCATAATCGTATGAGTTTGCCATGATTTGTAATATGGTTTATAATGTTTTTGACAAGTATTATACTTTTGGGTTCACTGTGAAAACACAATAAAACCAAAAAAATGAAAAACAAAATGATTTTGCTCAAGACGAGTGTCTAATAAAAATACAAAGTTACCGCTGTAAAATGTCATTCCAAGCACAGTAATATCGCGACCATGTTGTTGTTGTTCCACTGTGACTTTTTGCACTGATGTACTAAGACTTTTTAAAAATGATCGCACACAATTATTGTATTTGTTTGTCATTTTATTTCATACTATCGGTTAACTTTGTGACGATGAAACCACCCAAAGTAAGCAATACTTATATTTTATCTCAACCACAAACCTAACCTAACCTGACCTAACCATATTCGATTACAACTTCGAAGCCATTAATACACAAGTCATAAGTTTCAATAAACTATTTAAATTATGAATAAATTGGTGAGTATTTCGACTGGTCGATAACCAGGATTTGATAATTACTTTTTTTGTTTAATACATAAAAGTTAGGACGGGAAGAACGGAGAGTGTAGTATTATTTTTATCTGCCCGCATTATTGTAACGCACTCCATCTCCCAGCCTAATTTTAAAATTTCGATGACTTTAAAAGTAATCATCCAAAACTGGTTTCCGACCACTCAAAATGTTCAGGAAATTATTCTTAATTTATAAGGTAAACTAAATATGTACGTCATCTTTTACGTTTTAAAATTTGATATAGCTATAAAAAAAAATTAAAAAGATGAAATTTGAATATTGTCTAATATTGTAAAATAACATAAACTAAAGTATATCACCCTGTTCAATATATATATATATATATTGTATAATTTATATTAATACGTATCATCATTTTTTTTATAGATTTCCCCGTCATATTTCAGTAGTCACACATTCTCTGAAAGTTTCATTAAACTCGTGAATAATCTTGTAACCTACAATGAGCGAGGAAAACCATTTAGTGACAATGAACGTAGAATTCTGACAACTCCTGTTCAGACTTACAATGACATCGAAAGCCGTGACAATGCGTTAGTTAAGTTTAACAAGAAAATCGATGACATTAAATGTACTTGCTGTTTAATCGTGAAAACGCAACTGGTGGGTTTGACGAAAATACTGGAAAGTTTACGAGGCGATGGGGCACAAAATAAATATACGAAGTGGGAACTAAAAAAATTAAAAGAAGAAGCGATTCTTATGTTGTTGTGTTTTCTAAGAGGCAAAGTTAAAGCGGGGAAATGGCTTTGGAGTTATTTTTTTAAAATCCTTGCGATCATCGAATATGAGAGTAACAAAAATTTCATTGGGGAAACCCCATTCGAAGAAGACGAATTACAAAGTGGTATTACAAATTTTGTACAATACTGCAAAAATGAAAAATACTTTCCTAAAAATATGTCTGAGTCAGATTTGGTCTCGAACAATCCAAATATACAATTAAACATTTTTGATAATCTTCGTCTACGTGCAAACGAATCCTGCACAATTGGAGAGTATTGGCACGCCCTGCGTAACGTAAACATTGACAATTTGTATCTAAAACCATTTTGGGAGGAACACGACTTATTGTTCGGTAAAATAACCGGATCAGAAGTAGAATGGGGTCCAACGATAAGACGGTATGCAGACGAAGTGGAAAAGACCAAGTTATACGTTGAAAACCGCCAGTGGATTTCTAAAACGTTCGGACACCTTAGTTACCACAAGCTGGTAAAACAAATTATAACCGTAAGGATCTACACCTTTATGTGGGTAATGTTGGTGATATTTAATAAAGAAATGCCTAAAATGAGTGTGGCCAGATTAAAAGCTGTTTATAAGATGACAAATAGAAGAATTGATTTTGTAAGCGAACTCATGCAATTCACCGACACTTTTTTCCTTGATGTAGTTTCAGAATTTCATTGGGAAATGTCTAAAGATTCAAAGAATTTTGATAGCGTTATAGCTAGAATATCGGCAAGAGTCAAAGGCATACTAGTCGAGTTAAATGGCTGTAATTCAAATGGAAGCGATTGGATCAGTGTTAACATAAACGAAGAGTTCAGCGAAAATATGATAAATACATTTCTCCAAGAATTTGGGCGTCATTTTAATGAGTTGGAAGCTAAATCATTTTCATACAATTTTGAGCTTGCATTACAATTTCTGGTTGACGGGAATTAATGTTGCGGATAATGACCAAATAATTAATCTAGCTTTGCACAAAAGCCAAGTGTAATCCCATTTGATTATCACTCATTTTCTTACCTACTATATCCTTTACATCTTATACCCTTTTTCTATTTTACTTACTTAAATTGCTATAATCCAAACTTAAGTAGATCGTCATCTTTTTTGTATTGTGATAAAAATTGTGTTTGTTTAAGATTTCGTCGCTTAAGATGCAACACCGCATATCTCATTTTTCTCAACTTTACAGGAGAATAAAAGCACATTAACATTATAACATATATCAGTAACATTATAAGTATGTTATCGCAATTGTTCGATTATAGCATTTTTTATTGACTTTATCATATATCTTTGCCCACTAGTCGATTTCCCGTGGAAATTGAAATAAAACAGTGTGTGACAAAAAATGAGAAATAAGGCGGGGCATTTAAGCGACAATTATGCATTTGTATAATGATTTTGCAGAAAATGTATTAATAACTTATTTTGACCATATCGTCTTTTATGATTTAAATTATAGTTACTAAAATATACTTATATATATATATATATATATATTCTATATGTTTATATTATTAACAATTTCATTATAAAACTGAGCCCACTAGTCGATCCATTGATTGAACTTTTATTAGATGCTTTGATCCAACCTTGCTATTTTTTACTGTACCTATTAGTTAGTACTTTGTTACTTCTAATATCTATTTTTATGGTAACTACTAACATAACGGATCTGGAACACAGAAATTTGTACCTAAGTGTATTTTTAATTGGATACATTAAAGTAATTTTTGTAATCAGGAAAAAGGGTCATAAAAAGTGGAATGTTTGCACAGCTTACGTAACTACTAAAAAGTTAAAATAACTTAAACAAAAATAATTTCAAGAAGAAAAAATACGAAATTGAAATTATATTAGGAGAAAACCCCACATTGATTTTATATACATTTTATTGTGGTCTACTATCAAAATTGTTTTTTTAGGATTTAAACTAAACGTAATAATTCATAAGGTAGAGTATAAATTGTGCAAAACGAAATCAAATTCTTATTATGGTTAAAAAAAACGTTTAATATCATCGCAGCTGTGTACCAAAAACAAATAACGAAACGAAAAAAACAAGGTTATCGTTCATTGTAAAACGTGTGTAGTGCCTGCCGTTTAACTGTGTACATTTTAAGCAAAATTGAAAAAAACAACGTGTGTCAATAATTTATAGTATAAATTTAAAATCCAAAACCGCGTTCTGCTTGATTTTTGACCTCGATAGCGACGAGAAAGGTTATTAAAAATATATGAAGTCTATATTATACAAAACGGAAATCTAGAACCTAATACGCGGTATAAGTATTGTTAGTCGGTGAATAATTTTCTAGTCCTGCCTCAGCTCAGAAGAACAAAAATATATAGCACTTCATTGTGTTTTTAACAAAAAAATAAGAAATTAATAATATTTTCATAATTTTTAATATTTTTAAGCGTTGACATTGACATAGTAAAACCATATATGATATCACTTCTTCAGAAGAAGAAGATTTTCTGTTCTATGACGCTTTGAGACATTTTTTTATTAAAATATGAACCTCATTATAACAGATTTTAATTTAAATTAAAAATGGGAAATTTTTTTTTTTTACTTGATCCGACTGTTTTTTGCTAAGATATAGCAAGTTAAAGTTTAAAGTTTTCCCAGTTTCGGAAGTGACGAAGTTGACTTTTTCAATCCACCAAAGTACCAATCACATACGATTTCAGATCTATATAGCTGCTAGTCGTTACAGTATTTGTAAATGGTCCAAGTTTACCCATGTTTGCTTGTACATTTTTTTTAATATATATATTTATTGTACATATATTATTTATTGTATATATATATTTTTTAAATTTGTATGCAAAAGACTCATTGCACCCGACAACAAGTATCTTATGCCGGATTGAATTATTTTTAAAACACTTGGTATAAATGAGAATACTTCAAACAGAATACC